AATAAATCCAAAACAATGAAATTGCATAGTTTAATGACCTTCTCAAGCCTATATGTTGCAGTGGAGTATGCCCAGAAAGCTGACTCTACTGTTTTAGACTCTAAGTTTAGATATTGTAATATTTCAGTCTGCCTATTCATTGTGGCCATAACCACAGCTCTTTTTCTGTTAACCCCTTAAGAATCAAAAGACCATCTGATGTGCTTCATTTGTACTACTGAAGAAATCACTGAGACATGTCTGTGTCAAGGAGAAAGGAGAGAAAGTATGTGACAGCTCCCTGATTTGGCTCAGACAGACAGCCATGATTGATCACATAATGGGGAGCACATTTCAGTGCTCTACTCTTCATTTAGCTGACAACGCTTTCTTTATGGCACCTTGTGTTATGGTATCATAATCATGCCACTGTCATCAGAGCACCTTGGAGTATAAATCACTGCAATCCTCCTCAAGCATGCTATATGCTACCACTGCTTCAAGTAGACATCATAGCTGTCAATCAAATGACCTCATTGGAGGACCACAACCATAAAGGAGTTTCGGTGACACACATAAGTCCACTGCAAATTAGTGCCTCAAATAACATGATAGTAAATTAAACTAAAGTTCGCACAAATACACTTTTTTATTGTTTATTTGCATTTTACCAATTGTTTGTCTTAATCATTTCTGCACTTAATGGACCTCATGTTTCAGTTTCAGGAAAATGGCATGATGATTGTGAACTATTTCTTTTACAATGTACATTGTACATTGTACATTTTAAAAAGTATTAGCTGCTTACATGTAGAAACATCCCAGGCAGATCTAAGTCAGCAATGCATATGGATTAAAAAAAAAAAGCCTGATCTTTTCTCATCTTTACTTTCATGTACATAAGGTTGTATACTTAAGCAGACATGAAACCAGACAATCAATATGTCTATAGCTTTTGTCAAATTCTCTCCATTGAACTAGTTTTCTGGTCCAACTGGTTTGGAGGCTTGTCATAGGAAACTACACAACAGGTGTATCTTTTATATAACTACATTTGTCTTTGATGTTATCTTTTATCATAGCTCTTGTCTGTTATAGAGAAAAAAATTCAATGGACAGAAAACAGCTCAAAGAAAAGTCAGGAGGCGAAAGTGGCAGATAGATACTTAGAGCAGAAAGAAGAAATAATGGTAAAGGGTGATGAGTGAGACAGAGACAAAGATAAAGTGAGCGAGTAAATGAAGAAATACACAGCTGACAGCTGAGGAAGTGATGAATGAGCCCGAGCAGAGACACATTGAACGACTCGACTGGTGGAGAAACAGAGAGAAAACAAGTGAAAAGTGCTCACAAGGACTAAAGATTATCATGTTATTATGACAGAGACATGACCAGGGGCCATCTTCCTTAAATAGACCTCATATTAAACAACAAGTATGTGTAATGTCCTAAACATTAGCAGTAAACCCTTTGGCTGAAGTTACGAGACACAAACAAGAGATGATTTAACAGAGTGAGCACAGGAAACTAGTTTTATTGAACTACAAATCTCCCAATAAAGAATGTCCTTACAGATTGTAATTCCAATTTCCAGTGATCCAATTTCCCACCAAGCCCCTTGACCACATTTTAATGACCTTGTTTATTAAATAAAAAAAAAAATCAATTTATTTCTCTTTTGTTTGTTAGTCACAAACTTGCCAGCAACAAACATAATTACTTAACACTACATATTGCACCAGTACTATGTATGGAATTAGTGGTTCTGATGGTGCTATGGATAATTAGCTTATTCACCTGATAACAGGTTGACAATTTTGAAGGTCATTACATCACAGTAGCACACAAAGTTGTCCTTACTTGCCTCCTGTACTGGAAAAATCTAGTTTCATCCAACAAATAAATCAATTTCCCAAACACCCATGTAGTCCGGTTATGCAGTCTGGCTGTGACGTCAGTTCCTGACTTTTGGTAACCCCTTTCTTTCAATCTGTCCAGTTTACAAGACACACATGCACTTCACCCCTCCCTCCCACACACTACCATTATGGAGCAATTATCCTCTCCAGCTAGGCTCTGCTCCTGTGATTGTAATTTGCATTTATTATTAGCCTTTCTGTCTGCCAGGGGCTGTGAGGCGTGTGGACAGACCGATATACTCCACATCACATTGAAAGATTAGCACAGATGCTGTTTTTTAGCACAAACATCTAAAACAGGAGGCGCCCACGTATGTCCCTACACTGGCAATGGAAGTCATTACGATGTTGCTATGTTTTTCTAATGGTAATCCCTGTTAATGACAATATGCAGTACATTGTGTTCGGTGGCAGGGATACATGCTACACATTACACACTGTGGCGCCTCTTCGTGTCTTTTGTGGCACTGTCAAAATGGCCTCTGGGTTCATCATATGGAAATGTGTGTGTAGCAGGACGTCTCTGAAGGCGTATACAGTACATAGCCAAGATGCCAGCGCCTAATAGATGTGCTCCCCAACACAGACAGGGAATGTGAGTGCGGGCAGTCGAGTGTGAAATGACTCTGTTATCATGTCGTCTGAGTGGAATAAATTTGCCCATCCACCTTCTGGAGCAGGTGTGGAGGTCTGCAGGGCTTCAGTACAACAAATGTGTGTGTATTTTATGTACCTTTATAGGCCACTTTTATTTTAGATTTTTAAAAGAAGTGAGTGGAGTGATTCACATAGATGGATCTTATATGTTATATTATATATTTTTATTTTGTGTTGTAACTTTATCCTGCTGGACAGTACAAAAATGACCAAAATTAAAGTACTGTTGTGGGTCAGTGAATTAGAGCACACACATTTGCCATTTTATTATGCTGCCATGTCAGAGTCAGATTTGCACACTTCATTCACACTAATTCTCATTTTTTGTATTCAAGTGTTCTTAAGAATTCTAGGCTTTGGGCTCTAGACCTGTTGTTTATATTCTCAGTTTAGACCAGCGCTGCCGTTCATCACTTTGCAACATCCATTTTGGGACCCCATTTACTTAAATACACAATGGTCATAGATAGCCCACATGGTCAAATACATGCAAGCTCTATGTCTGCCTGCATAACTGATGTGGGCTAACCCATGATTTCATAAACCAACCTATTACTAGCTCATTAAATGAACTCTGCTGGCATGATCTAATATGGGCTTATGGCTGTGTTGGGTTTGGGTCTGTCAAACTGCTTATCATTCTGCATCTTACTTCAGACAGGCATGAAGACCTGCACCTATTAGCCACACAAAATAACTCAAGTCTATCTTCTTTCTCTTTTAACAGAGAATCTCAAGACTGGAGGCAGCTCTCTGGACGTATGCACAGCTAATGTAGCAGTTACAGCCACTTAAACACAGTGAAAAATGGCTGACACTGAAAGTGGACAGCTAAAAGAGCTGAGAAGTAGCTCCCCTGCACCATGACTCAACTGGTTAAACACTGTAAATTAGATTTTAGATTATTCTGTGAGGACCTAAATGGGAAGATAAATGTAAACCCATAGAGGGGCTAGATGGATTAACCTATATAGTTTTATTCCACCTCTGGATTAAAAACAAAGAAATAATAGAATATTGGTTGCTGTTTAAACTAAATAAATATAGTTCCATGTTGTTCACTTTCAAAATGACAAAGTAAAATTCACACACAAAATACAACAAATACAACATATACAAAGGATTAAATGCAAGTCATATAAAACTAAGATTAGATACATTGAATATTTTAAATACAGGGGAGATTTTTCTTCTTTTTGATGATACTATTGCTACAAAGTCCACAAACAAACATACGTTTTGCCACAATAAACAAAAAGATGTGTCAGTGTCACTTCTTCTATATTCTTCTTCTATAAACTTTTTTCAACATATTTAGATAAGTCACTGATAACGGGTATATTTTTTGCAAGATCTTAAAATATATTTCTTTTGTTTGGAAAAAGCCGGGCTTTGTGCCAGTCAGATGATCTCCAGTAGAATTTTTCACTGTGATTTTTTTTTTTTTTTTGCTTTCGAAATATTTGACGCACAGGTTTGTTGTTACAGGTTTTGCTTGTCAGGTTTATACCATTTAAAGACTGTGAGACCAGGGGCAATGACTTGTTACAGTGTCAAAGGGGATGAAAGGGAATTGAAACACCACCACAAGATACAAATTGTTCAAGTGGACATGTTACTGTAAACATCAAAATATTCAGATATTCATTGTTTCATTCACTGAGTGGAACTGGTGGAACCACAGAGTACAACTAAGTGCTTCATCAAACCATTTATGTTGCTATGGTAACTGTGAAGATCCAGTTTCAGTCGAACTTCACAGCAGAAGAATTAGCATTAGCACAAGTTGCTAACGTTAACTAAAGAGTTAGTCATGTTAGACTACATTATTCTCCAGAGTTATTTCCTCACAGCGAATGAGCTGTTGGACAGGTAGTGGAGCTGTCATGAAGGTCATAGCAATATCTGTTAATTCTTATGTTGGAAGATGCTAACATAGCTAACTGACTACTCTTCAACATGTGTTATTTCTTTTTATTTGTCAACAGGATGCATGGATCTTCAAATCTAGAGCCACAGGTAGCCCTAAAACTAATAAATGTGCTTTTTTTTTTTTTTTTTAAACTTAATTTACCTCTCCTCAATTCATATTTTGGGTTGGATGCACCTGCTAATGTAACAGAACTGGAAATGCTCACTGGTAAGTCCAAATGAAAGTTTGGAGTTAATTGTTTAAGCTGCTACAGTTTAACCAGCAGTGTGTGCTGGTATTCACCAGGGACAATGAGAAAAGTGTCACTAACTGAAGGGCCCAGGTGTGGAAATGTCTCATGTTGTAACTAGATATCGCCCTGAGGCAACCACTCTACATTCATTGTGATTTGTTGGGTTTCAGTGGTGCTTCTGTCCATTCACTGGCTGAGTGTGTGTGGGTGTGGTATTTAAAAGAAAATGTCTATACATGTACTATTGCTCAGTTACATTCAAGTTATTCCTTTTTTCAAGGAATCCTCAACATGCGTGCGCATCAGTGTCCGTGGAAACTGAGGAAGGTTTGTTCAAAACAATTGTCTCCACAGTCTGAGCTGGTCGAGATATAACACTACATTTTGCTTGTCAACTAAAATAGTCAGTGAAAGTGTGGTTACGTAGGAGGACTTTGTAAAGCTGTTAAGGAATCAAGTCAATTAGTTCAAGATCAAATAATTTTAAATCACATAACATAAAAGAAATGAAAACCTGGATCATACAATAGATCAGATGTAAAAAGGTTGTATTACTGGCAAGCTATGCCACACTTCACAGAGATGCTTTAGCCAAAACTGTGAAAAAAGTAAACAAGAGCTGTGGAACAACCCAGTCAGCTGCTGGGTCTCCACCATCCACTAGCAAACACATATATCACACTGCCATACTTTCAGAAAGCTTCTGATCTTAATCTGATCTGAGAATCTTCTTTAGTTTAACATTAGGATAACTAAAGTTGCGAGTACACAATCCAATACAAATCAGATCAAAGTTTATCTGAATAATGGTCACCATTTATACAATTTCAGTAAAATAGCCACAAGCATTTGTAATATTTAATCTCTCCAAATCAGAGCCTATCTTGATGGAAGAGCCCAGTCAAATGGAACAGAGTGTTTCAATTGTTGAAGATGCTGAAATACACAAAAAACTAACTCATTTTAAAGCCCAGGTAATTTTATTCTTATACTTCTTACCTACAATAGCATTGTGTATGTGATTGACATTTTGTGTTGTTGCGTAATCAAAATTCACATATTTGACTATGTCCTAAAATGTATGTACCTGCAGTGAATGTCATTATTACATAGTGGTGTAAATCTTTCTTTGATCTAAAACTTCATGATTTACATGTACAGTTTAATAACTGTTGAACAAACACATTTATTGTTTTTCAGCTTTTGTGTACTTTATTTGAAAAATATTTTTACAAGAGCCAGACAACTTTGTTAGATGAGTATGTGATTATATTATTGTATTAACTTTGTTATGTGTATGAGTGTGATCAGAAGCTGTTTTTTTACTTTTTCTGTAGTTTTCATCCATGATCCCAGCAACAGTACCATTGAGGCACTTCTTCAAACTATACGTCAAGGTCAACCAAATGGTAAGAATGACCGGGGCACTGCACTTTTACATCAGTCTCTTGATTTCTATCTCTTCCTGTTTTCAATGAACAATACATGTGATGATAATGAGGAGGACAGCGAAGATGAAGATGAGAGTGAGAGTGAGGATGAAGATGAGAGTAATGAAGAGGAAGATGGCAGTGATGATGATGAAGATGAGAATGATGAAGATTACAATGATGAAGATGACGAGAGGAATAATGACGGGACTGGAGATAGTAACTACAGGAACAGAGAAAATGGTGAGGAGGACCAAGATATTGAGGACGAAGATGTCTGATTGCAAAATCCTCTCTGACGGCATAGGCAGTTGACTTAAACTACTTTTGACTAGACAAAAAAAAAAAAAAGATTAAAATGCTTTATGTCTGCCATTTGAACACTTGAAGTTGTTCCAAAACACCCCTGAAACATTCTTCAACTTAATTTAAAACAACAAAATTCTAGTGGTGTGGTGGGTAACTTGTGTCATGTCCATCACAACATTTTACAATCACTATAGTTTAAAAATTTGCTCTTTAACTGAGTAAGATTTGTTAACCTGGTTTGTGGTTATTATCTCTGTCCGAATCCCACTGAGTTATATTGGCCTGTCCTCCAACTGAAATGGCATCACCAAACCTAGAATTCTAAATAATGTGAACGCAACCTATTGTCCCTTCTCTATTTGAATTACTATTTGACACTTTTAATTTACCACATAACACATAACATACACATAACCTTTGACAATTATTACCATTTAGACATTTTATTGTTTTTCAGGACCAGACCTTCATATGTAGCCATGCTATTTATTGGGTTACTATAAAGCCATTTTATCTCAGAATTCATTATTATGTATTATCTTCATGCATGGCCTGTAAAAAGGGAAAAATCACATGACCAAATCTTTAATTAATTTGCACAGGTTGGATGAGCATAATGGCCCAGTTCAACAGAGCAAGACACGCTCATATGAGAAAGGACGTTGTCTTTCAACCAGTTTAAGACAATGTACATGTCAAGGTTAAGGATGACTTTGTGAGAATAATTTGGTTATATCTACATCTATATCTATATTTTTTGTAAATTACTAAAGACATTCACAGATGGCAAACCAAGCCTCTCTCTCCACCAAGGTCAATTCAAGTCAGTACAAACACTTTTCACATGCTTTGTTTCCTTGACACCACCCACCTATCCATCTTTACCTGGAGTCTCGCGCGCAGCCACTTCTACGTGGAAAAATACGTCATTGGTTTGTTTCTGCTTTTTAGGCTTTTCTTATTAAGTGGATTGTGGCTGTCAGCAGCTGTCAAGGAAGCTCCATTATTCGTCAGAGAGAGGCAAGGCTGTGACTCATGCCTGCGTGAAGAGACCAATGGGCTGCCGGGGCGTGAGATATAAATAACGAATAAAAGATATTCTTGAGGGAAAAAGGGTCACTTGCGCGCCGCTGGATGAGATTTGACTTCGCTCTGTTTGTATTCCGCCTCCTCCGCCACTGGACTGTTTCTTTTCGCGCTCTGGGTGGCATTTTTTTTACACCTACTTGTCGTTTGTCTGGAGTCTGGAATCGACAACCTGTACACTGGTAAGCTGCTTTTTTGCCTCTTTTGCTTCCACCAAATGTTTGGTCCCATGCGTAACGCAGTGAAGGTTTCTGTTAGCGTTCTTCTCAGTTTAGATGGCCAATCTATCCAAGTCGAGCGCGGTCATTTAAATTGTGTGTTTGGTGTTGCTGTTTAATAGCTAATAATTAGCTTGTGATGAGTGACAGGACGCATCCATTAGGTGCTCAGTCTGCTTTTTGCCGCGCAATGACATTGAGTGATGATGGCATGTGCGCTTGTTCAAAGCTCAACTTAATTGAAATGTCGATTTTTGCATCAATAAGTAAATGGTGTAGATTATGTGCACATTTAATTTGCAACGAGTCACAGTTTAACTGCTTAGGTTTCTAGTCCTGAACAAGCAAATGTTCTCCGAAATAACTTGTTTGACATAAGATGCGTGGTACATTGCTTGTCCGAGGCAAAGTTTTTATTATTATTATTTGCAATACTGTCTGATAAAAGCAAATGGGATTTTACAAATCTGAAATACAATTCATGCAAAATATAGAACAATAATGGGTGCGTCCCGAGCCTAATTCGTCGGGCATTTTGGTCAATATAGTCAATTTATGACATTTTCTGGTAAACTGGTTTAATTTTAGTAATACATATTTTACCATTCTGTCTTATAAACTCGACCTTTTATTCCCCAGTAAAGACTACACGACAGTAGGCACATAACCCAGGAGTGATGGCTACGTCGGAACCAAGAGCCACCAGTGGGGACCAAGACCCAAACTCCTCCAATTTAAGACCCCCATCCACAAGTAGGTCCCCTCTATCTCTTCATATGTCTTATAATAACCCTGCTCCTGTCGACTCCAGATCGGCTCATTAATGTTCAGTTTACTGATTCTGACAGTCGCTAACCGATGCCTTGTTCAAAGACACAAGATACAAGGTGATTAAGAAGGAATAAAACAGCACTCATCTCTACTCTGTCTGATAGAAGTGCGTCTTTCCCGGGCCATTTGCTGTGTGGACTTGATCGTTAATCATTGTGCTTAAGAACAGAGCCATCACAGCTGCCTGTCTGTCACGCAGATCACCAGTGCGCACCGAGGGGACGCGCCACAAACAAGTCGCCATTAAGTCTGGCGATGTCGATATTTATGGCCAGTCCCTATATTTGAGTGTTTTAAAAATAAATACACACAGTTCTTTGCTGGATTATTTAGTTAATTTGATCATTATATTCTCATCCGTTGTCCTAATTCATTTGACGTACTGGGTGCTGTAATTCATTTTATCTCGTTTCCCAGATTGGTAAAGGGCCCTCGCTTACATGCAAAAGAAAACAATGTTATAATAATCATGCAAACCTAAGACCCATATAGCCCATGTTTTTCCTTATTCTCTCATAAAGACTCACAAACCGGCCATATGATGCATTTTTATGCGAACTTGTCTTTTTTTTTTTAGCCAATTGTACAGGCACCTCAATTTGATCATAATTCTCAAAAACCAGCCTCAGGCCCAGTAACACATAGCCTATAATTTTGTGAGCATTATACCTAATAAATGATTAAATCTGTTTTGTCTGACTTGCTCGTATTCCTCTGCTGGATGTTGCCATTATCTTCTGTGCCACGCTCCATCTCACGCCTTGCGGCTGCTTGTGTCTCTGTGCGTCGTGCGTGTGTGCGCTTTGGCCTGACTGAGCACCTGAAGCTGCTTTTCTTTCACGAGTTGATCTAATAATTATCGGTTTGTGTTCATAAACTTTTCATCAGGTAGATATCAATCTTCTTCTCTCGCTTTACGTCATTTCTCACGCATGTTTAGGCTGAAATGAATGCATGCGCTGTTGTGGATAAAGGCTATAGCTCGCTGCTGCATCTCGGCTGCTTAAGCTACACAATCCCAGCCAAAGACATTGAAGCAGCCCGCTCCAGTCACACACCGTGTTTCACTCAATTAATTCTTGCCCTCCTCCGTGAGCTCATTTCACGGGTTTTAATCCCAACCCGCCTCTTGGTGCGTGTGTGTGTGAACCTGCCTGGATGTGCCACACGGGCCACTGTCTGTTTCGATCAACTTTGAAATCGGAAGTTATTATAACGAGCTACAGACAGAAGAAAATAGGCCTTTTAAAGTAATTAAAATAAATAACAAAATAAATGGTATGGCTACGCTGCATCAAGCTTCACTCTGCTCTGTGCTTCATCCGCCCCATCACATGTCTCATGCTTTTCCTTTCGCGCTTCGCTTGTCTTTTTGAGCAAGAAAATCAACCGTCCACCATTCTGTTTTAGCCAACGAATACGCGTGGATGCACGGATGCACACGGAAACTTGGGATGAAGATTTGTGGTAAGTTCCTGTACAAAGGCCACAATTGAACGGGCTCATATAATCTACAAGATTTTTCGCCATGTCACAAAATTTCCATTTTTTGTCGAGCAAATAAAGGAGGCCCTGAATAAGGCCAGTGTAGACGCTATTACAACAGGGCCATCCATGACTGTCACTGTGCATTTTCATCTCGTATAAAGGTCAGTGGACATTAGCCTGCTGCTCTGATGATAAGGGCCCTCGGTAACACTCCCGGCTGCCCCCTCAAACCCCCCGCGTCTTTGAGCATCATCTCCAGGAGAAAAACCGACACTAAGACAGCGTGGCCCTTGTGAAGGCTGTGCTATGAAACTTAGGCCTATGACTGTAACTGGCGGCGTGACAGAGGGCGTGGCGCTGCAAAATAGGATCTTTTAATACATCGGGTAATTTCGATTGTGGCTTTTAAAAATGCCAAAAATTAAAATAGCCGAAAACCGCAAAATACTGCTGGTCTATTAAAAGATAATCAACCAAACTTTCATTTTTGTGTACACCTGCCATAGCTGCCAATCAACCTCGATTGATTTAGGTTGCATTTTGAATAAATTATACTGAAATATTTTGAATAAACTACCCACAGCAATCACAATCTCAGTCTAGCAATAAACTGCCCTTTGGCCCCTTCCATTGACTAAAATATCATAAAGGATAATATTTGGCTTCACTACCGGTTGTCCCATTTACCCTGCGCACGGAGATCCTCACGTCAGAGAAGCGCTTCAGGGCCCGTCGTTCATTAACCCCTCTTTATGGGGAGTCTATTATTGGCGGCGTGGGTCATCAGATCATCCCGCACCACTGAACACTGCACACGGGCCTCTGTCCTGTGCGCGTGTGGGCAGTGCGTGTGTGGGCAGATCATGCATGGGGCAGACGAGGCAGGAGGGTGACTCCTGTGAGCGCTTCCTGTTTGTGATGTCAGTGAGGCGGGCACACCATACTGATTGTGCCTTGTATATATGACTTCCTATTTGTCTCTCTTCAGAAATAGCGCACATAACTGACTGGTTTGTAAGCCCGTTGTTCATGTGATCCATTTTAAGTTTTAATTTGAGTTTGAGGCCGTTGGATGTGGGAGAGGATGGAGGTGTTTAGTGATAACTCGTGTTCTCCGCCGTGCAACACTTTAGGGTTTCTGCAGAAGAACAACAGCCTGGAGGAGAAGGGGAGGCTCGCGGGCCACAAGAATCTGCTCTCGTGCGACAACAGCGACAGAGACACGAACTTCCGCCGCACTGAGACCGACTTTTCAAACCTGTTCGCCAGAGGTCAGCCTTTGCAAATTTGTTATGTTAATAAGGTTATTTTAATGGTGATTCATGTACGAATATTAACAGGTTATATTAAGATCAAATTTAATAAAGGCAGAAATAAAATATAATATTAAACAAATATATAATGTTCTCTAACACGATAATAACGTTGTGTCTGTGTTAACGTTTAAGATTATAGAGAGCCATTCTGGAAAATACTGTTAAAATATATTTTATTTGCACACAAAAATATTTTCATTAACAATTTCATAAAGTTACAATGCTATGTGCCTTACTTGCACATTGTTCTGGACAACCTTAAAACATTTTATATATAGTAATATTTAGGCTACATTTTTAGAGCTAGATTTGGATTGACAAATAATGACAAATAATGAAAGGACTCATTGTTTACAAATGGATGTTTAAAAATGTTTACCCATCCTCTAGACCTTCTTCCTGCCAAAAATGGAGAGGATCCAACCATTCAGTTTTTATTAGAAGTGGTTGAAATTCTGACCAACTATGTCAAGAAGACCTTTGACCGCTCCACCAAGGTGCTGGACTTCCACCACCCCCACCAGCTGCTGGAGGGCATGGAGGGCTTCAACCTGGAGCTGTCTGATCAGCCCGAATCCCTGGAGCAGATCCTGGTGGACTGTAGGGACACGCTCAAATATGGAGTCCGCACTGGTATGAGTCACACAAACTCTATGACATACGCCGCTTATGCATTATGCTAAAGTCTCACTCATTTTATTGCAGTCATTATTTGAAACTAATCCCCAGTGATATTTAAGCATACTTACTCAACACAATGTATTTTTTTCTGATGCAACACAAACAAACTTTATAGATCTGACTATATAATAACCACAGGTGATGCTATTGTAAATCTAGACAAATATATTCTACTCTTACATTCTGTTTTGTTCTGCCAGCCAGTGTAAAGCACATTGCCATGTCTGTCTTATTTATTGCCCCCCTGGCACCTCTTTACTTGACACCATCCCTTTCTTTTCCTCTTTAACTTATTAAAGCTAGTGTTGCCTGAGGGGCCCCTTACATGGTCCCATTCAAGCTGTTAAAACGACAAACTGTCCCTTGGGGTTTATTTATCACTTGGGGTCGACACTGTCTACACTTCGTCACACTGTTTTTATTTATTTCTCAGTGAAGTCTAGTTGTAGGAGCTGTCCATGGTGCTGACATACTGAAGCTTAAATGTTGCTATATTAGATTAGGCCTTGATTGGTACAAATCTATATATTAAACAATACATTGTAGTTTACAAGTGTATTATAATTTACATGGCACCACTATGCTTTCAGGGCTGCGGGCTTCATTGATGCTGACTATGTGTTAGCACCTTTGAGATTAAATAGCTGTCATATAGCTGCCTTGTTGCTGGAGTAATTATGGGACACTGAGCATTGCTTTGTCAGGCCCCACAGGCTCATGTTTGACCAAGGGAATACGAAATTAGCCACTGTAAAAAGGATAAGGGCAAAAATCGGACAATCTCTTTTGCTTTGATTAATAGTAGTTTACTTGTTTTTTGGCTACGACTATGTTACAAATTGTAGAAAGAAGAACAATGGTGTAAAAAAGGCTATTTACTGAACGTGACTTCATACAAAACCTCTATTCATATCCAGGTGTATTATATTGCTATACTTCCCTATGTGCAAGTGTAGTGGCTAGTAATAATTGATTAGTTATTAGTAGTATTTAATATTAATTTGTTATTTCCTATAGATGTTGGATTTCTCTGCGCTTATTTTTTAAATAATTAATCATGCCATTTGGGTTGTATTTGTGAAATACTAAATAAGAAAACAGGCCACCATTTATTTATTTATTTTTTTGTAGTGTTGATAACCACTGATTTAGTCTATACTTTGCCCTATAATTTCACGTATTAATGGTAAATGTTTTGCAGCTACTTAAAACAAAACATTATATAATTTATGAATACTTAAACTATGTTGAAACTCTACTGTATCTTTTAAAATACTAAATTGCCTTTTGGCATTGTGATTCTTGGAGATAACAGCCTGAACTCAGAAATATAAACATTTTGGCAAATGGCCTTACTGGCCTTTATAGATTTGCACACAGTTCATAGTTTTTAATTTTCTAGCCACAGGGCACTGCAGTGACTGTGCATTCAAGCTTTTATCACACACACACACACACACACACACACACACACACACACACACACACACACACACATATATATCTTTAGAGAAGCACAACATTAAAAGTGGTGTGTCTTTTTCGCCTAGGTCACCCACGCTTCTTCAACCAGCTGTCCTCAGGACTTGACATCATTGGTCTGGCAGGAGAGTGGCTCACCTCTACTGCCAACACTAACATGTAAGAGAACAACAACATGCTTGATTATGTAAAGGGGGAACACCTCCAAATGTCAGGAAAGGACAACAGAGTTCCTGTTTGTAGGCCACTGGAAACAGCTCCCAGTCAGGCTCATAAATAGACTGGTGTTGTGGTGGTCCCCTCTGAGGCCGGTTATATAAAGTGTTAGGTTTGTCCCCTATCGACAGACTCTACTGTAAATTCTAAGCGGCCCGCCCGAGGGGCTGTTAGATTGCATATTGATTTCAGGTCAAAGCAACATGGTGGTCTTGTCTGATAGAGGGCACGAACCACCACAACATTCTGTGAATGAGCTGTAACTCTGTAGTTAATCTGCTGAACCAAAAATAAACAACAACAACATCATAAGACAGTGATGGGAAATGCACACATGAGTGGGACAGTGATGTGACGAAGTTACACAATGTAGTTATACTGTAGATATAAGATGTACTGAACTCTGGGATCTTGGGTATTCATGTTTCTTAATATGAGGAGGACTTTCATGTTTGTAAGATGAGCTATGAAGACCCTAGTCTGTGAAGACCATATACAGTTTATGATATAGACATACATTTTTTGAATCAATAGCACAGACGTTACTTGCCATCACAACTCCAAAAGACAACCCAAGGTTATCTTCTTGATCTAAATCTATTGTCTGTTTGAGGAGCTGTGTGCTAAATGAAAGATCAATACTAGGAAAATAACCAGTACCTGCAGAAAAATAGAGTCACTTAATTCATGTAATTCCCAAAAGATCAGCTCTAAAGACTATATCCTTGAAGTGAAACTGTATTTTTTGGCAGTGAAGCCTTATCAGGGGACACTGAATTCACACATTAACGCAAGCACATTTGTAATGACACAGACGCACACCAGCTTCCCCTGCCCCACATCCAGCAGCTCCAGTTTCCAGACCATTGACTGCAGGCTCTTTGTGAGCCGGTCTTAGCTGATAGGCCAGCTGGGCTCTCACTGACACACAATGTCCTCCGGCTGCTCAGAAAACCCTGTCAGACCAAGAAACTGGCTCTGCCGCTCCCCACGGAGCGCTCATTTCAGTCCATTGTCCCCAAGGAAATCCGTGAGTGTGGTCCTGTGAAGGCAGGGGTCAGCAGGTTACTCGCACACATACACAATAACACACATGAGCAGTGAGTGCCCTTGATGATGATAATAAGGGCATTTAGGGGCTGTCCCTAGAGACGGGCAGGTGACTGAGGAGTAATTTTCACCCTGAAAAGACCAATGATTGGCTCTGATTGTGATAATGATCACTATTATTGTCATTACAGCATGAAATGACTCACAGAAAGGGAGGATCTTAAAACGGTGTCCTAGGTTTGTCCATTTTCTGACAAAAATTACATAAATAGGCAGATGAAAGGTGGATATCTAGGACATTACACATTATTATTTCTTTTCTAGCATTTACTTCATAAATCTCATCTTATTGTGATGTGGCTAATTCCTTTGGTATGTCCAGGTGTGTGTGTTGGACCACAAAGACTCTTTGTTTTGTTTCTGATTAAATTTTTTCAGTCCTAAACTTTGCTTTTCACTTTTCATTTTCAGATGGTGTCTATCATTTCTTTGGTTCATGTTCTCTTTCTTTTTGTGCTTCAACCCTCTCTTCCTTTGTCATCCCTGACGCTTTGTGGGCCTGAGACATGCCGAGCTGTGGCTCTTGTTTGGATGAGAGCTGTTGAAGCAGAGAGAGGAGATAATGTGCCTGTGTGTTTAGATGCTGGGGCTTGTAGTGGCAGTGCTTAATGGCAGTGGGGGATTGTTGTATAACTGGCCTCTTTAAAAACAGGACCAGTCCTGAGGGTGTGTGGGAGGCAGCACCAGTTAGCAGAGAGAACAAAAGCTCAAGCCGTGCATTAGAAGCTGCCTTTCAGTGACACTTTTAACCTACTTATGTGGAGTTTGTGTTGGATTCACAAAGTCTCCTTGAACCATCAATGCAGACATGGATGGGACAAACTCTTCTGTAAATGTTCAAATTACCATATTTGTTCATATCATAGTGGACTGGCCAAATCAAGTTCACATTTCCCCACTGGAAAAACACAAAATATTTGAAGGTGAAAATATTTGACATTGATTATTTGCAGCAAAAGCAGCTTTTATCTCATAGAAACAGCCCTGTCTCGTGTGTGTCCTATGTTCACATCAGGTCAATCCCTTTCAGAGCAGCTCCTGCAGAGATTGGCAGCACTGACAGATAGCCATCAGAGCTTTGTGTGCTTTAATTAAACAACTGAGTGGAACCAGAATCCATTTGAATATGAATGTTTGCTGCTCCTCCTATCAGGCCATTTTAATTATCCTTGTCAGCAAAAGCTCAGTCCTGTACACTGCTGCTAGTTCCCACTGAAAGTATGTCCTTAAATGATCAAATATCTGTTGTAATGATTATGGAAGGCTTTACTGGGTGGAGTTAGTATGATTTTCAAGGATGCGTTTTCCTGAGGGGTGTCGCAAATTTTAGTGTTGTTGTTATTATGTTTATATTAAGAACATCACAGTTGATCAGTTATTCACAATTACTGATACCATGACCAAGCAACAGAGAAATCCTTAATTTTTGTTCATTCCCATTCATGTCTAACAGTATGTGACCAATTGAAAAAAAAGTTAATGGAACTTAAATCAAAAGCATGCTAAATTTTATTTGATGGAATAACTAGTCCTGAGACTTCTGTGCCCTGACTTCTGACATAAATCTGGGCATGGGTTTCCTTTGAAGAATGGGTAAATTCAGTAAATAACTTCCTACAGGAACTATAAAGCCTCCAAAACCACAAACAGACATTATAGGGTAATTATTAAATATGTACCACATTGTTCCCTTCTGTCATTATGTTGTTCTAATGTGACTGGCAGGTTCACCTATGAGATTGCACCAGTGTTTGTGTTGATGGAGCAGCTCACTTTGAAGAAAATGAGGGAGATGATTGGCTGGCCTGACGGAGAGGGAGATGGCCTTTTCTCACCGGGTTTGTTCAATAATGTTATTATATAATTTTTTGTATATTATTATTATGCATTTTCAATTTCACAAAAAAATGTGGCTTTGATTGTTGGTTTTATACCATTGAGATTGAATGATTGAGAATGTTACAACTTAAATTAGGTATTTCTGGCTGTTGATCATCTTAAAGGCATATTACCATTACTTGAGACAGTACAGAGTGACAAGAAAAGTTGCAAATGGCAAAATGTAACAACAACTGAGATTTGTATAGTTTATATATCAAAATTAATTGATTAAATATAATTCTCCTCAGGGGGTGCCATTTCAAATATGTACAGTGTTATGATTGCCCGTTACAAGTACTTCCCTGAGGTGAAGACCAAGGGCATGTCGGCAGCTCCCCGCCTCGTCCTCTTCACATCTGAACACGTACGTCTCCGCTAACACACACACAAATACACACGTAGACATACGCCCCCCCCCCCCCCCCCCCCCCCCCCCACCCCCCCCCACACACACACCCACACACCCCACACACACACAGCCAATTTGAAGTCCTGTCATAAAGTAGATGGTGCGCTTCATTGGCCTGAGATAGAGGCCATTGAAGACCCCAGCTACAATCATTGTCTCTCTTTAAATCATACCAATGGTCTATTGTAATGCACTCCTCTTATTTTATGGCATCTATTTTTGTCTGTAAGGTATAACAAGAAAGACGTCAACATCTCCAATAGACAAAAGCATTTACTGTCTAATTGGTTTCATTAAAATGTTTGCTGTTTTTCTTTCAGAGCCACTACTCCATCAAGAAGGCCGGCGCTGCCCTGGGCTTTGGCTCAGAGAATGTGATCCTTCTTAGCACAGATGAGAGGTATTTGCATTTGAAATATTTTAAAACGGCAACGAATATGGTCAATCTCTTCAGAGGAAGTAGATATGCTTATTCATCATAACCGCATATGGTCCAAACAAGCTTTCGGTTTTACACATACTTAGCAGTTTTTCCACAATTTTGACTAGGATTAGTAAGCATTTCCTGCCAGACTGCCAGAATGTTTATGATGTTAATGCCATCTAAATTAGGCTCATCAGAGAGGCAGCACTTTAAATTTAACAGTTACGCAATAATGCCGTAGTTGGGGTTGGTGAACACCTCAAATAGTTGTAAAAGCTGTCTATTGACATGGTGGAACATAGTGGAAAGGACCTGGGAAATTTAAGTAATGATTTTCAATTTTATCTTCCAAAACAGTGAACATGATTGGAATAGCAAAAGGTCACACTATAAAAGTCAACAAAAGTGCATTTTGTAATGAAGCTCATCATTTTGTGTGTGTGTGAGACAGTATATAAATAAGTGCAATAAGAAACAGGGGCCAAAATGGTTGTGCAGGACAACCAAAAGAGGGACAGGTGGTAAGAAGGCTCATATCAGAATACTAAAGATATGATAAATTACAACATACAGTATATTTGTGCTGTTTACAGGGGCAGAGTGATTCCTGCTGATTTGGAGGCTAAGATTCTTGATGCTAAACAAAAAGTGAGTGTTTTTACTTACTTTGCGTTTGTCTTATTACAGTTGCCTTACTAACATTTCCTTATGTTTTGATTATGCAGGGTTATGTGCCACTGTTTGTCAATGCCACAGCTGGTTCTACAGTGTATGGTGCATTTGACCCCATCAATGAGATCGCTGACATCTGTGAAAAATACAACCTTTGGCTCCATGTTGATGTAAGATCTACTCAAATAATGCTGTTTATGCTTGCATTTCCTTTGAGTGTTAAGTCTGCTATTTTGGTCTCTGCAGGGAGCTTGGGGTGGTGGATTGCTTATGTCCAGAAAACACCGTCATAAGCTCAGTGGAGTTGAACGGTGAGGAAAAAGGATATTACTTCTTAATAAGTTGATTTGCCATAATTTGATTTAATTTAATTTTTCAATCCTTCATTGAAACTTGCAGGGCTAACTCTGTAACATGGAACCCTCACAAAATGATGGGTGTGCCTCTTCAGTGTTCAGCCATCCTGGTCAGAGAGAAGGTATGTTTACCAAATGATTTACTCTTTTGCCAAATGATGAAATTACTTAAATTTGAATGTTTTAAAGGGAATCCTCGCTGGCTGCAACTCCATGTGTGCAGGATACCTCTTCCAACCAGACAAACAGTATGATGTCACCTATGATACAGGGGACAAGGCCATCCAGTGTGGTCGCCATGTTGACATATTCAAGTTCTGGCTCATGTGGAAAGCTAAGGTAATCACAGCTGCCCTTTGAACATGAATTATTATTTTGATTATATTGAACAAACTAAATCTAAATGTTTTTCTTTCTGCAGGGCACAATAGGCTTTGAGCAGCACATAGACAAATGCTTGGATCTGTCTCAGTATTTGTACAATAAAATCAAGAACAGAGAGGGATATGAGATGGTGTTTGATGGAGTGGTGAGATTCCTGATTTCAAGTTTAAATGAATCTGTATTTTGCCATTAAGGCAGGTCCAGTTTAACCACTATGGCAATTCCAAATGTCTAACTTGTTTTTCCCTTTGCAGCCTCAACACACCAATGTTTGCTTTTGGTACATTCCTCCCAGTCTGAGAGGTATGCCTGATGGACCAGAGCGGCAGGAAAAACTGCACAGAGTAAGATATGTTTAAAATATCCAATAATTATGCCATATTGTTTCGCCTAATTACTCCACTAAAATAGATAGTAAATGCAGAGTTTAAGGTTAAATGTTTTTCTTAGGTGGCACCAAAGATCAAAGCAATGATGATGGAGTCAGGGACCACTATGGTGGGCTACCAGCCTCAAGGCAATAAAGTGAACTTCTTCAGAATGGTGGTATCTAATCCTGCAGCCACTCAGTCTGACATCGACTTCCTGATTGAGGAGATGGAGAGGTTGGGGCAGGACCTGTAGAAACCATTCGCCCTGAACACAAACGCCAATGAGGTGAAACAGTCAGCACTGCAGACAAACTAATGAGGGGACACAGCCTGGCTTTGCCTGCAGCACTGTAGTGTTTTCTCCACAGGAGTTACTTCCTGTTCTTCTCCTAATATTAAAATAGTTTTTGCCCTTGGCACAACACTTAATGAACGTTTGTGCTGTGGAATCTCGTAAACGTGGGTATTTAATATAGATTTGTCTGATGTTCAGGTAGTGTGTCCTTTATCGTCTCAGTATGCATAAATGTGGGTGTGTATCCGTCAAACACTACAAGGGAGAAGCACAGATCACAGAATATTTCAGAATATCACGAAACTCGTCTGCTGTATCATTTTTACAATGAGCTGAGTCCATGGTGCTCCATATGTTCAAACACACACTATTCTAAACCAGTGTGCTCTGTGTGGGGAGGTGTGCTGACTACACATTCACTGTATCATGTCTTTAGCCTAAAGAGATGTTTAAAATAAGCTTATATCACCTTACGTGCACAAGCCTTTTCCTTGTCTAAGATAAAGATTTAAAATATGTAACTTAAGTCTCTGACAAACTTGTAAAACGCTGGCTCGTTGTCTCTTTCATGCAATCATAATGGAACAATAATAGCTGTTTATAATATTAATATTGAAATATATATTTATTGCATTTCCACTGTTTGCAGATTCAGGTATTTTATTGTAAATGTTTCTTTATGTGTATTACATGCTAATACATTTGTAAATGTAAACATAGTAACTGAGTAAAGATTATTTGTAATAATTTTGTCAGCCAAAGAAAGAATTTGGAGCAGAGCAATTCATAGTTCACCATATAACTTATAATGTATTACTTATAGGTGTTTGTAAAATGTTATTCAATCTGGAATGCAATGCAATTTATAGTGACTATTTGAGTGTTTTGGATGAATGTTTTTAGACGTCTGTCTGGCCTTTTGATGAGATTAATCAAGTCTATGTAGATTCTGGCCCCGTGCCAATCCTTTATTTCAGAGAGAAGCACAAGGTTGTGAGAATGTACTCTAGTACTCTAGACCTAAGAGAGGATTGTTTTATTTGTTAAATCCTGATGCATTTATTGTTATTATATGAACTGTGTGTACTGCATATGACCAGTGTTCCCACAGCTAAGGGAGCTCTTTTCAATATCTCAGTAACTGGAGTTCCTCAGTTTGTCTTTGCACAATGTTCATCTTTCTCCTGTGTATTTGTGTGTGGGTTGATTATTTTGATATTATGTAAAGTATATTTATGGTATCTAGGGACCATATGTGAATGGCACAATTGTATAAATCATATTTAAAATAATATGTGTTCTTTATGTGGCCATGACTCCTCCGAAAGATCAGGTGTAATAAGGAGACAGACCCAGATAAAGGAGTCTCTTCCAGAAGTTTTACAGTAGGCACTTTAACTGAATTAAACCATCTTCAAAAAGATCTTAAAATAAATAAAGTCTATCAAAGAAAACATTCTCTGACTTTGACTCTCTGCCTTTATTACACCATAGTCCACACTCCACTCTCAAATATATTTAGGCTACTTCATTTTCTTAGATCTTATAGTACTGGATTTACTTCAAACAAAGATAAACGTATAGGCTACTACAACAGAATTTCCAGTGTGCCCCTCTCAATATATGCCAACACTGAAACACATATTATTTTTTACGGAGTGTCTATTTGCACCCTGGGTGTTAATAGTTCAATGGACGCGATTCTTCTATTTACACCCGTCTCAAGAAAAAAGGGAATAGTGACGTGTCTGCTTACGTCATTTCCCGTGAAAAGTGCGGGAAACTGGATTTGACAATCCAAAGAAATACAAATTAAAACGAAGGTAGGGTAAGGTAAGGTAAAAAAGTAAGTCAGTGTTGTACAAAATATATTTGCAATGCCTGTCCGACCATTACGATTTGGGTAATTAAGTTAAAGGCATTACAGCATCATGGACAGTTATTTAGCTTGTGCGATGTATAGCTAGCGGTTATGCTAGTTGATCTGTCTATTCAGCAGTTCAAGTACAGCCTCGAGTAAGATAATGGTAATATTAAAAGTGGTTCAAATGTAAGCATTTGACCCTCGTAAGCACCATAACTACTACAGAACGACATCAGGCCGTTTGAGATTATAATGTATTTAATGCAGCTTTGCGCACAAAAACGAAACCTAACGCCACAAGGCTAATCTGTATAAAATACCCACCGAAAAAAACAGTTCGCTCTGTGCCTGATGCGGAGCTTCTGTCGGACGGATGGTGAGCCTGTTCTGGAGATGGTTCATGTTAAACTTTACAGAGATCATTCATGTGCAGATCGTACTTGTGCAGGTTCAGCGCATCTCTTTTTTCAACAGTCATTTCACTCATGTATAGTCGTGTCACTTTTGTCTCCAGGCAAATTCTCCCTTGTGCGTGTGCTGTCCTCTTCATCACGCAGCAGTCCAGCCTTTCCAAACCCGTTGGTTATCGTGGATTTTTTCACATGGCCCCACGCTGTCACAATGCATGATACAGTGTCAGTACCGGTTCACCCAATACGCACAGTGAGTAGGGCCCCGTGAACCAATAGAGGCCCCTTACTTTGGCGTTACCCCTTCTCGCATACGCTGCGTGGATCCATAGACCGTATGCGTCTCCTGCTGCTCACGTAAGACGTGTCTCTTCCCGCTCCCGGACAGCGCGTCGACCGTGCCTCTTCCCGTGCGCCTCTAAACCAGAACTAAAACCAGGACTAAACCAGGACTAAAACCAAGTCAAAACCAGGATTAAAACAGGACTAAAACAAGATTTAACCGGGACTAAACCATTAGGCGCAGACTGCGAATGATTGATCATGATTCCGCATCATTTTGAGTGAAAAAAAAACATCAAATATTACTGTCAGTAAGGTTTTTTAAAATAAATAACCTGGGTGTAAATAGCATTTTTGTCTAGGAACACCCGGGTGCCCTTCTATGTGCCACGCTAAATACACCCGGGTGTAAGTAGCAACAATGGCTATTTGCCCTATGTGTAAATAACAATGTTAGCTATTTACACCCAGGGTGCAAATAGCATCTGCCTTATTTTTATAGGCCCTTATCACGTGATGGTGTCAAATGCGTACCAGTTAATTTATCTAATTAATTCAATAAATTCTATTTCATAAGAGTAAATGCATGATTTATACTGAAATTTGTAAACAACAAAATCAGATACGGTATAATTTTTTTACTAAAGGCAACCGCCCAGTTTTGGCTTTCTGAATGAGCTATTTAAATTACATAGATTCAATGTACAGCTACCTCCATCTGGTGGTCATTTAAAGTATCACACTGTGTGCGTGACTATTGTTTTAAAAATGCATTTTCAATCCGATATTAATCAGTTCAGCAAAAACAGGTGTTTTATTAAAATTACTATTAGTATTAATAGATTTTATAAAGAAAATCTGCGGAATGGGCGTAAACAAACGTTCTTCCTGCCACGTAACGACGCATGCGCATTACAGTGCTGTTCAATTGGCGACGTGTACCGGTGCAGTTCCTGTGGCTAGAGGCGTTTGTGTTTCTCTCTTTTACAAGGGAAACACCAAAAACAGGACTCTTTATAGGCCCGACAGGACTGTACTATGGGGGGCTCACAGAGTGTGGAGATACCGGGTGGAGGGTCCGAGGGGTACCACGTCCTACGGGTGAGTTTAACCCTATAACACTGCTATCTTGCTGTTAGCTTTAGCATAACCTCTGCTCGGTGGATTCTGTGAAAACGCCTGAACAGGTACAACGTTCGAGACGGCGTCTGAACATGAAAACCCCACAACAACGGGAGAAATGTACTCCTTTGGGGCTGGGCAAATCTTCTACTCTATTTGCTCCAATGATAAATTCGCTCAATGATAAATGCTAAGCTAACTAGCCATTCTTCAAATACAGTCTGAATGACAGGTGCTTGTTCACAGTTTGGCAACTAATTTATTGCAAATAATGCTTCATCAGTGCGCTACATAAAGTTGTGATAGTGCAGTGTGGGACTGAAATGTCACTTCAGAGTTTAAACATCTTTGGTCTTTCCCAGGTTCAGGAGAACTCCCCTGGACATCGAGCTGGCCTGGAACCCTTCTTTGACTTTATTGTGTCTATCAATGACACTAGACTGGTGAGAATATTTAACAAATCATGACTGTAAAGCTACTGTGGACTGAGACCAATCATGGTGTTCTTCAGTGTGACGATGTACTCACACATCATTTAGAAATACTTTTCCTGCTTATTTCTACAGAATAAAGACAATGACACATTAAAGGAATTACTGAAGGCTAGTGTGGAGAAACCTGTCAAAATGCTGGTGTATTCATCTAAGACACTGGAGCTGCGGGAATCCACAGTCACTCCCAGTAACCTGTGGGGAGGCCAGGGCCTGCTTGGTGTGTCCATCCGTTTCTGCAGTTTTGAGGGAGCCAATGAGAATGTCTGGCATGTACTGGTTCGTGCACCGTGACATCTTTATGCTATTACTAAAATACTAGTACTTTTGTGGTTGACCTATCCCTTTGGTCTGTACAGGAAGTGGAGCCAAACTCTCCAGCAGCCATCGCTGGCCTGCGGCCGCACACTGACTACATCATTGGTGCAGACACCGTCATGAATGAGGTATGAGAAACATTTGGTTTATCACTGATTTCCTGAAGCAGTTTGTCAGATAATAATTTCTTATATTTTGTGTGTTACAGTCAGAGGACCTTTTCTCTCTGATTGAGAGTCATGAGGGGAAACCCTTAAAGTTGTACGTGTACAACACTGACACTGACAACTGTCGAGAAGTGGTCATCACACCCAACAGTGCATGGGGAGGGGACGGCAGGTACAATATGTGCTCAAAAACTACTTTGTATGTGTTTGCACAAACAAATTAACAAGGTTTTATCTGCATGTTTTAGTCTGGGATGTGGGATTGGTTACGGATACCTCCACAGAATTCCCACCAGACCGTTTGAAGAGGGAAAGAAGATCAGCTTTCCTGGAAGCCCGACCAGTGAGCCTGTCAGTCCATTAAAGGATGGATTCACTGAGGTTAGGAGTGTTTTGCACGAAATATATCAACATAAAAAAATTTTATTGGGCAGACTTTAGAGTAAATCAAAAACAACCAAAGTTTTTTTTTCAAGAAAAGTGGACTGGATAATTGTCTGATTTGTTAATGTTTTGTAGAATAACAACTTGCCCATTTGAAAAAAATTAAAATTACAGTGGAAGTAAATGAGTCCAAATATGCTGCAGTGTTTTTCTATGGTTATTTTTGATTAATATTTTGAATTCTCAATTTCTAACTGACTGATGCATAAGTCTTTATTTTTTCGCCTATGATGATACGCTGGGTTTAAATGTGTAGCTTGTATTATTTAGCATCTTTACCACTAACACAGAAAAAATTTGCCTTTTGGTGTTTGGAATGACCTTTTTGTTTTTTTTCCCCTCTGGTTTAGGTGCAGCTCTCAGCAGTTACTCCTCCTGCCACTGCAGTGTCCGTTCCCTCTGGCCTGGAAGACTCTCTCTCAAGCCTCTCCATCAGCTCTGCAGGGCCTGCTTTACCCGGCGAACTTCAAACAGGTAAATTTATCTCTTGGATAGTTACTAAAGAGAAAAGTTGAAAAAGAAAAACGCAAAATAAAACATTGTGTTTCTTGTCAGGTTTACCCACTGTACCGCTGCTCCCCTCGTCCACTGCGCCCTCACTGACCCCCCTTGCACCTCTCAATCCCGCCTCCACTAGTTTTAGCTCCACCTCCACACTACCAGGTGAGTGACTTCCCAAGCATTCAAACATCAACGTCATGTACAAACCAAGCTCTGAACGATGGGACACACCCTATGTTGAAAAAACATCCGTCTCATTTACAATATGCTCAGAGGATTTGTTGACACACCTTTAGACCATGACCTACCTTTTTATAGTATACCTCTTCAAAGGTATTTGTTTAAACAAAAAAGCAGGAGGTACACACTACAGAGGATGCTCTGAGGAATGTGATGTAAGGGTGAAATTGTGTCACCAGTTTCTGATGTAGTGTTTGTGTTATTAGGTCTCATGCCTCTTCCTGCTGGTTTGCCCCCTCTGCCAAACCTTAACCTCCCAGACCTTGGAGCTGTGTCGTTAGCGGGTGGCAGCAGCCTCCCCCCAGCTGTGGGAACAGGTAAAAAAAAAAAAAACAGTTACACAATAAGTATTCCTGAATAGAATGGCAAACATAATATTTTTTTTTACAGTAGCTTCTACATGTGGATGTATACATGAAACAGGATTGTGAAAGGGTTTTCATTTTTTTGTCAAATCTGGCATCAGTTACAAGGCCAGGGTACAGGATGCACCAGGGTTCCTACTTGAAAACAGTGAAATTTATTGTAAATCACAATTTATATTGCATTGTATCCTTTTTATTGATTGTTCTAAACACAATTTTAAAAAACTAATTTCTCCCTCTGTGTCCTGCAGTCCCGCCTCTATCGTCCCTCCCTCCCCTCAACCTGCCTGCCCTGGCCAACCTGCCCCCTCTGCCTGCCATGCTGCCTTCCCAGCTGCCCTTTCTGCCCCAGAGTGTGGCTCCCCTCCTGCCAACTACCACTCCTGCCTCTGTCACAGTCAGCTCTGCATCTGAGCTGCCCCCAGCAGAACTCACTGCCCCTGCGTCCCCCACGGAAACACTCATCTCGACGGAAACACCAGTATCCATGGAAACACAGTCCTAACCAGGAAATGGATGAAGAACCTGCCCTCTCTCACCATCGGAGTAAACACACATCCGGTTACACTCTTGCCCCGTCTTCCTCGGTTTTCTATTTATTTGGCCCTTGGACGCTCAGATGGAGGCAGTGCACATCAGTCTGTAAGGAGGAGGCTTGTGGGGCAGTGAAGGATTTAAAGGCGAGTTTTTGTAGAAGATCCGGAGCTCAGCAGCTTTCCCTTACTGCTGGGACACTGGGATGCTGTGTGCTAGTTTGGAAAAAGCTTCAGAAAACAGAGTGCCCTGGCAACGACTTCTGCATCTCACTTAGCAATCCTTTCTCTTTTTTACATGTGTAAATATTACAGGGCTGGCTGATTAACTGTGCATTATGTGATATAAGTCATGAATCTCAACATGGTTCATATTTTATTAAAGCAGTGGTAAATATATTGCATGGCATCACATGGCCTCTCTAACTACTTGTATCAAAACACTTTAGCCCATAGTTAATTTTGTCCTTTTTATTTTGTTAGGTTTAATTTCTGTATCTGACCCATAGCGGCAGGGAGTATTGGCAGTTATAGGGGCTCTGTTGTAGTGTGAAGGTGCTACTTTGAAGGGTTCATGAATGCTTTGCTCAAGGCATTAATGAACTGTTGCTACAGTAACACCTCACAGCCACAAGATGCTGCTGTAAAAGACCTTTTAAGAGACCCAACAGGATGCGCAATGCAAGCAATAAAGCCAAATTAATTTTACACCTGTCATAAAAACATACAATTCTGAAATAAATCATAATTTAACATGATAAATTCCAAGTTGATTTGTGTGTGTGTGTCTGGTTACGTTTCCAGGAGTATAGAGAACATGTTTGGAAAGTTTGGATATTTTAAAAACTACATTTGTTTATTATGCTGTAAATAAAGGCAGAGGTCTCTCACTGAAATACTGTTGCTACTGCTCATCTGTGAGGAAATGTGGGCCACACTGCAGGACGTTTTATTGCCCATCAATGACACACGCTCCTGCACACATGTTGGGTTTCCATGTCTATTGGGGATATTACGTTGATTTACATTCAGTTCCTGGAGACTGAACCTGAACATACGCGTAACATAAACCTGTTTTAACCCACATCTAAACTTCGATCAACAAAGTAATATAAAGGATTTATGTGACCAGTTTTGTCTCCGTTAGGGAGGCAGGTCTTCATGATGTGCGTATAGAGATTTAACTCCCTAGTGTGATAAATACATATTATCTACACCTGCGCACTCATCTACAGGAGCTGTAATCAGGCCTATCCGCCCCGCAGGAGGACTACCACCAGGAAAATAAACCAAGTGTCTCCCTGCAATCAAGTCACACAAAGTCCTCTTTAACAGAAATTAACACTTTTTTGCCTGGATGCCTCAAATACAACCAAAGCAAATGTGATCAAAGCAGAATGAGCACTGCTGACCGCCGACTGCTTTTGTCACACAATAGTTGTTTTATTAACAGAACCATACATCATTTTGAGTCTGTTGATTTCTAGCTCTAGACACATGAGCGGTACAGATTCAGACCTCTGCACCAAAAGCTGTGACTGGTTTCATTATTGTGTCATGACACAATAAAAGAAATGTGTAACTGGAACTTCACATCAGCGTATATATGAACACTCCAGGCTGATGGGGGCGACACAGTGCCTCCTGAACAGTTACATTTATAGCAGCGCTCAAACAGCTTTCAGATGAAATGCAAACATAAAGCGAGGATCATTTATACATTTGCCTGAATGTAATGTGATATGAACACAAAAAGTTAGCCTTCTCTCTGAGCCGAAGCTAAAAGGACAAACATACCGCTATCATTGGATTTAGTGATACGCTTAAATTAAGACATAAATCTGCTTTAAGTCCGAAGCAGAGAATTGCTTTTTAACAAACTGAAAAACTTGCATTTGCTCAAGATTTCACCTCCACTGTTACTTCATGACAAAACTCCAAACGCAGGTGGTCTGGATGTGAAGTGCATTTTGATCCCAGAATCATTTGTCAAAACAAGCAACCAATGGCGCTCCTGGTATCCGTAGAATTTGATTTGTTGAGGGCCATACCTACTCAAATCCAGACCTTATGTAAGTATCTATGGCTCAACATCAAATAACGATTGTTGATTTAATACTCCGTGAGAGTAACAGGGACTTGACGAGCACATCTGGGGTCCTAGAGCAGTTTGTTTAGCGGCAAACAATCACGCCTCCAATGGCTGCTTCTTGATGCATTCATTATCCATAATCCATCACTTTCTTTTCCCTTTTTTCAGTGGGAACACTCTTTACAACACAACGCCCTTTCCTCTCGCCATTTTCATCCCACCATCTCCCTGTGTATTGTGTTGTGATGCAGAGTCCAGTCTCTGAGCAGGTCTAGTACAAGGGGACAGAGGAAGAGGAGGAGGAAGGCTGCAGAGTGCCAGACGAGTTAGAGCGTCTCATGTGCGGCAGAAGGTAGGTGTCAGAGCACAGCTGGTGAACGTCAAAGCGGTCCTCTTTACGGTAGGCCAGACACCGCCGGATAAACGCCTGAAAAATGACACCGCTTACATATTATGTTTTGATTTCATTCTATTTTAAGTCCTTTATAAGTCACTATGTACAAAGGCTATTCTGAAAAGACATTGTTAAAGCAATTATTATATAATTACAGACAACATGAATGAAAATAAGATCAGCGTAATGGATTACCATAATGACAACATAATCTACATAATAGTTTATTTTTGGAGACTATTCGGGAACCATTTCATCATTCATGCAAGATGCCAAAACAATATGAAATGTAAGCCAATGAATAATCCCATTTAATTATGCCTGGATCACTAAATACATTTAAAACACTATAGTGTCAGCATACTTTTTAGAAACCAAGTAGTAAGTAGTAGCATTTTAAAAAATGTATTCATTATATGACTACCTTAAAATTTATTAGATGACAATACAAGTTTTATACACTTTATTCAAAGGTGTGTATTCTAAAATGCTGTCAACTGTGTAGTACTGTCATCTTTAAGCACAATTTAAATTACAAAATAAACATCCAAATTGAAACAGAATGAATATGTGTCAATTGCATCATGAAACCTGAATCTGTGTAGGCCTGAGGAAACCACACCCTTTAATATTCCTAGATGTACAAAGTTTAGAAAGTTGGCGTGTTGCAACATAAACTGTTTCTATAAATGTGTGTGATGCAGACAGGCCCAGAGTGCATGACTGCAAGTGCCATAATGATGCTATCTAACTAGTCTAACTAGTTACTAACACATACACTTAAGTTACTGTGTTGCTTTTCTTATTCCATCATTATTTGGGTTTGGGTTTGAGTTTGGGTTTGGGATGGTCACAAAGAATACACCAGCAGCTTGGTACACTGTGGTTGTAAATCATATCAAGTATTAAACTAAATACTGGTCACCATATTATCAAGCTGTGGTGACTGTGATGTGGATTTATTACAACTGTGTGTGTGTCTTTGTGTGTACCTTGGCTTCAGTGCTGGCCTGGGGTTTGGCAGGGAACTGGACCTCTGTGGCTTTGAGGATGGTGTTCTCCTGTAGGATGTCCTGTTGAGATTGGTTATGACCAAATGGCTGTGGACACAAAAACATCCAGGAAACTCATGACATATTTTCCTCTACAGATAAACTGATGGGACAAATCAAGATAAGCATGTTCATAGGGTTGTGTTTTGTATTGCTTGAGGGTGGTGTAGAATATTGGTGGGCATGTATGAGCACATCAGACTGCCTTCATTAAATAATTACGAGTTGAAACATGCACTTACAAAAAGTGCTGGATTATCTCAAATTGTCAAATCTTAAAGTATCAACTGGTTTTAATTTAAAGAGCCTGTTTCTATAGATTACACATATATACACTACATGCAAATTCTGATTTTGTTATTTTGTATCTACCTTGCGCCCATAAAGACACTGGAAGAAGATTACGCCGACAGACCACACATCTACTTTATTAGAAATTTTGGGTGGCTCCTTTCCCACCACAAAACACTCTGGAGGCAGGTACCTGAAACACAATAAAAATCAGATGCACACCTTCAGGATAAGCTAAATAAAAGTTTATATAATATGTTTTGTTCATACCAGTAGGTGCCTGCTCCCTGCGACGTTAAGTCCATCCCATCCACACCATAGTTATCATCATCCATGATTTTGGACAGGCCAAAGTCTGTGATTTTGATTTCCCCACATGCAGTGCCATCTACTAATAAAATGTTACCTGGGATTCACAAAAAAGAACATTGTTAACAGTATTAAATCAACTGTAATAACTGTTGTAACTAAAGATTTATGACGCACCAGGTTTCAAATCATAGTGGATGATGGGAGGTTTGATCTCGTTGAGGTAACGCAGAGCACTGACAATCTGCATCACGATGGAGCGCGCCTCTTTCTCAGACATGAGTTTATTCTGTTTGAGATAAAAATCCAAGTCGTTCCCTTCACAGAACTCCAGCACTGTACAAAACCTGAGAGGAAAATTTGTAATAAAATGTTCTTCAAAAAAGGTAGAGAGGGCACATGTATCTGCTAGAACTGAATGTTATAGATAAAAAAATATATATTATTTTTGTATGTTGATTCAGAATCACATTTTGAACATCAATTTTTACTAGTCACATATAAGGCTCAATAATTAAGTGACAAAATGCCTTCAGGCACAACACAACCCATTCAACACTTCTGTTTCTGCTCAATGTCATTTGTAGTTTTTAATTTTCCAATGCAACCTGAGTATAATCTAAATGAATCCAGCCATAGAGGTCAAAGTTCACTCACGTGTCAGTATCTAGGGAGAAGTAGTCGTAGAGTTTTACTATTCTGGGATGGTCCAGTTGTTTGTGTATCCGGTACTCCCTGCAAGCATGTCTGAGGGACAGAAATACCAACATAAACAGCATAAATTAAACAGCTTATGTTTTGGCCTTTAGCATTGATTGTGATTATAGTCTCACTTGTGGTAGTTTTCTTTCTTCTCTTCCCTCCAGTTCTTGTTGAGTTGGTGGATTTTAACAGCTGCATAGCGCTGTTCAAACAAGTCAAAAGCCTAAGAGTGCCAAAATACACACAAATTCAATTAGTACCAAGAAAACATTACAAAAATAAAGGGAAAAGGACAATATACCTTATAGACCTCACTGAAACCGCCCCTCCCCAGTAAATGGAGCAGAAGATAGCGCTCATTCAAAGTAGGATGGTCTTTGAAACTGTACAAAAGTTATGTTACAATGTGAAAGAATAACAGTCACGTCTCTATATTACCTCGAGCAGGCATACATCAGGTTTATTATTGGTCCCTGTAAGGTGCTGTGCTTTGAGGCATCTATAATAAACTTACGCTGAGCTGTCCTCATTGTTTATCCTCTTCAGCTCTCTGATATGGAGATTTCTCACTCGCTCTAGACGCTCTAACTCAGCCTGGATCTCAGCCTCCTCCTGCAAAAACAACAGACAAACATTAAAGCAATTCATCTAGTTCTGTACAAATTCACAAAGCTAGGGTCTGATAAGGTGAACAAAATACTATATACAGCATATCATTTTCGAATTTACACCTTCATCACAAGAAATGTCTATAAATATAATAAAAAAAAGATTTTATAGCATGCAACTTTTTATGCTAAAAACAGATCAAAATAAAAGATTAGAAGAAAGTTTTTGTCATTATGGATGTTTTTATAGCACTGAAAAACATTCATCCTAACTCCACCAACTCCATCTCCACACTCCACAAACTTGACCCTTATTTGGCCTGGGGAAGGGCCTCCTTCCATGAAATGTTGTGCCTTTGGTTGTAATATTCCATATCGTGGCATAAAGCATATCTATTAACTATCATCATAGAGAATGTTCCGAAGTATGGTTTTAACTTTCTATTCC